AAGAAACTGGTTGATTTTATGCCACCGGAGGCACTTGCTTTGACAGATTACTTCGGTAATACAGGGCTCCACGCAGTGGCTGTGCTTGGAAATGTTCCAGCAGCCAAGCTGTTAGTGAGGAAAAACCAAGAATTACCAAATATTTGGAATATTGATGGATCTTTGCCTATTCACTTGGCTGCAATGAGAGGTCATAGAGACATGACTTTGTATTTGTTCTCTGTCACCAGAGAAGATGAATACTCGAATCCATCTAAAGATGAAGCTGGTGCGGCGCTTATGAATTTCGTAATAAATGCTGGATTTTATGGTGAGTATGCAAAGTTACTGCTTAAGTCAAATTTTATCCACAGGGATAGAGTGAGTTTAACTTGAACTGTCCCGTCTAGAAGCTTAACGCGGGGTTTAATGTGATATTAGTGTACAGAAGTCGAGAATTAGTCTCACATATTAATAATCCTGAGATAGAAATTGTTTTCTGATATGCTCGTTCTTGCTGAAATTCTAGATTTGGCTCTCCATTTACTTGAACACAACCCGAAGTTGGCATGGCAAGATACATCACCTTTGGATCTGATGGCTGAGGAACCATCTGCTTTTCTAAGTGGAGCGCACTTAACTATTTGGCAGAACTTAATCTATTCCTGTCAGTTTCTTTAGTTTGTATTTATGATCAATTACGTTTCCAGTGTTTGCATGCCATTATCTTATTCTGTTTCTCCGCTTTTTATTCATCGATGATGCGTTTTAATTCTTTTTGGAAGCAACTATCACATCTATATTTACCGGCAGTGGAGATAAGGAGAAGACTTAGAAGAGTTTAAATCAAAATAACATAGTTTATGTTGCATTTAGAGAATGTGGTTTTGAAAATTATGTCTATCCAGTTTTCACATTTGATTCTAACAGCGTCAGATTGTCTTTTAACTGAAATTTGGAAATAAACCGCTTTTACCTTTGTGATAGTTGTACATTTGGAAATAAACCGAAACATAGCATAAAACATTTCAGCCCTTGTGCCTGGTATTGATTGGTTTTAATACCAACATTTCAAACCTTTTCCATTGATTTTAGGCAGCTAAAAAATCTGCTCACTTTCCCGGGGTTCCAATTGGCCTAATCTTGTGTGAGAAATGTTTCTAATACAACTTGGAACTGCTGTCGAGCTATTGTTAAATTTAAGGAGCTATTGTTAGGCTGACCTTTCTTGCTCAGGTAGTTTTATCACTTTAGCCATGGAGCAACATAGGTTTCTCCCATGGTTCTATCACAACAAGGTACTTATGTCATAACTCATAGAGTACGATCAATCAGATTTCTGTTGGATCAATCAGATTTCTGTTGAAATTTTATCCATTAAATAACATGATAATGCCTACTAAGAAACATTATTTTCCATGGTTGATCCTGTCTGAATTGTTGGTGTTCCGAGATAATGTCTACTAAGATGCATTACTTTTCCAATTCATAATTGACTTTGAATCTTAGGTGTTCCGATGAAGCTAATGGTGAGGCCAGAGAATTTGCTAAATGAAGACCCAGAGAATTTGCTAAATGAAGGCATGAGAAAATTACCTTATTATTCTCCCATCAAATTGAATAGGCATTGCAGAAACCGATTTTCGAGAGGTAAGTAGCTTATATCTGATTTTTGTACTAGATCATTACCAAATCTCTTTTCTTGCTTTTCAAGTTTAGAGAAAAATATTGATTATTACTCCAGATTTAGCAAGAGTTGTTTCTAATCCTCACGAGCTTGGTTCTTTCCCGTTTGCAGTGTACCAAGAGATGCATTTAATACTTTGGAAAGTACTTGAAATGCTGGGTAAGGAATATGCATCAGCAGCCACTTGTGCAGTTTGGTAAGGTGGATTAGATGCTAGACTATGCTATGGAAGAAAAAGAAACTAAAATTTTTTCATAACATACAGTCTAGAAGAGTCTAATGCTACATACCTAACCTGCACTTAACATCCTCAGTTACAAATAAATAGGTTATTACCTATGAAGTAATGTGATTTGTTGCAATTGCAGTGCCACCCCTCAAACGCATTCGTCACAGAAAATTTATGCATCATCAAGCACTTGAATTAGTAAAATGCGTGTGCTCGGAAATTAAAAGTTTGGATAATACCAAAGCTAACTCGATACTTACAGGGCCCTTCCTCTTAGGGGCTCAGAATGGAATAAACGAGATTGTCAAAGAAATTTTAGAGTCCTTTCCTCATGCAATAACATTTTTAGATGAAGAGAACCATTCAGTATTTCATCTTGCTGTAATGTACCGTCATGAAAAGATTTTCAAGATTGTGCATCAGCAGAGTGGACAGTACAAGATGTCCCTATCACTGCTACTGGATAACAGAAGGAACAATATATTGCATTTAGTGGGATATAAAGCCTGTCATGACCGACTTGATCTTAATCCTGGAGCTGTTCTTCAAATGCAGCGTGAACTGCAATGGTATAGGGTAATGAATACTCAGGCTCGAAATTCATCCAGTCCGCTCCAATAGACAGGCATATTCTGTAGTAAAAGCAACTTCGTCACTTTCGTGTACCCATTTCGGGACCAATTCACTCTGTGTAGATTGACTTACCTGCTTTTTGGCTCCACTTCGACTGATTGCCGAAATTAGTAAAATTCAGAAAAATGAGATTTCTCGTTAGGCATTTTATCACATGGATGCACCCTCAGAGCAGACTAAAGTTGATCTCTGATGAAATTTTTTATTGCAGGAGGTGGAGAAATTTGTACTGCCTCAAGAAAGGAAGTCAAAGAATTCCGATGGGAAGACACCACTAACGATCTTCAATGAAGAGCACCGTGAAATGGCTGCATATGAGACGCAATGGATCATAAGCATGGCAACTTCATGCACAGTTGCAGCATCACTAATTGCGACAGTGGCATTTGCTGCTGCAATCACAGTACCTGGAGGGAACCATACCGATGGAGGGAAACCTACCGATGGCCTCCCCATTTTCTCCAATCGGAATTCCTTCATAGCCTTTGCAGTTGGAGATTCTCTTGCACTGCTCTCGTCAATTACTACGGTTATATCTTTCTTATCCATTTTCACCACCCGCTATGCAGTAAATGATTTTCTATACTCTTTGCCCAACAGATTGATTATTGGCCTAATATCCTTGTTCCTCTCTGTAGCATTTCTAATGATTGCCTTCAGTTCTACAATATATCTTGTAATTGCTCAGAAAAATAGCCTGATTCTCATACCAATAATCATATTGACTTGTGTACCAGTTACCTTGTTCACCTACCTTCAGCTT